TTAGAGTAACTGACATGTTCCTCCAGTTTAGGGGATACATATTTGGCAGGGACTGTTTCCTAGCCAGCAAGGAACATGCCTGTGGGGAACCATACTGACCCAAGATTTTGTCAGAGGCCCTCATGAAAGGACAAAGGGAAGGTTAGTTCTGTGTCTTTGTCCAGGAACTGACTTGGCAAGGCTGATCTGACCCTGGAGCTAGTGCCTTGTAGAGTCAAGGTTGTGGCTTCTGGGGACCTGTATCTTTCCCCTAGGCAGTGTGTCTGATGTATCCCATGTTCTCTTTGCCAACGTCAACTGACTCAGCTCTCTGCTGACCTTGGCTATCCTCCCTGCAAATCGTATATATGATGCTGTACTTCCTAATAACCCTGCTCGGCACAGTCACCAGCCAGGGAAGAGCTCCTGGTCCCAGCTATTGCTTTTGCCTTATTTCTCATCTTTTCTATTTTTCATCCCCAATCCTTTTACTTCAACATCTCATCATTCAATTTCCTTACTCCTGCTGGTTTGGGGCATATGTCTTACCTTTTTTTTAATATATTTTTAAGATTGTAAAGGGATGGTTGTCTTTGGATATGGCATTAATTCTTTTTTTCTATAAGAATCTGGAGTTGAGGGGGCTGGAGAGATGGCTCAGTGGTTAAGAGCACTGGCTGCTCTTCCAGAAGTCCTGAGTTCAATTCCCAGCAACCATATGGTGGCTCACAACCATCTGTACTGAGATCTGGTGCCCTCTTCTGGCCTGCAGGCATACACACAGACAGAATACTGTATATATAATAAGTAAATAAATATAAAAAATTTTTAAAAATCTTAAAAATAATTATCTGGAGTGATAAGGAAGAAATCCAAGGAGTCATTTACTCTGGTCACAATGTGTTAGAGGCACAGGACCAAACTGGTACATTATATATAAAAAAAAAAATACTGCCTCAAAATCAGAAAATTGGACTGGAGAGATGGCTCAGAGGTTAAGAGCACTGGCTGCTCTTCCAGAGGACCTGAGTTCAATTCCCAGCAACCACATGTTGGCTCACAGCCATCTATAATGAGATCTGGTGCCCTCTTCTGGTGTGTTGGATACATGCAGGCAGAACACTGTATACATTATATATGTGTGTGTGTGTGTGTGTGTGTGTGTGTGTGTGTGTGTGTGTGTATATATATATAAAATCAGAAAGCCCACTGTGGAGGTCTGGTTTTACCTCCTTAGTCTGATAGGAGAAATGTATTGAGGGGATGGATAGAAAAAGAGGCAGGTGGATCTCTGAGTTCCAGTAAAGCCAGGACTACACAGATACTAGATAAAAATAAAATTTTGTTATGGAAAAAAACCTCAATGTTTAAGAAATAGAGAGAATGCACTGGGCAGTGGTGTCACACGTCTTTAATCCCAGCACTGGGCGGGGCAGAGGCAGGTGGATCTCTATAAGTTTGAGGTCAGCCTGGTCTACAGAATGAGTTCGGGACAGCCAGAGCTGTTACACAGAGAAACCCCATATTGAAAAAGAAAACGAAATGAAAAAGAGATGCAGGCGGAGTGTCTCTGTGTCCTGGCAGTCACTCCAATATAACAACACAGAGACTCATTATTGTTGTAAATGATTGGCCACTAGCTTAGGCTTGTTTTTTAGGTAGCTCTTAGAATTTAAATTAACCCATTCCTATTATCTGAGTGCTGCCCCAGGCTTGTTTACCTCAGCTATGAACTTCCCATTTTGCTCTAGACTCCTCAGACTCCGCCCTTCTTTGTAGCAGTCTCTCTGCCCCAAAAATCCTGGCTAGCTATCAACCAATCAGCTTTTTATTAACAATGAAAGCAACACATTTTGACAGTGTGCAGAAAGGTTATTCTACAGCACAGCGAATAGTATATGTAATCTAATATGGCTACCACTCACAATAACTAACCATATATGGTTAATTTATTTCATCTACTTCCTAATCCCCTCTACCTGGACTAGAGAAGACCAAGACATCATGATCCATGACCAGTGTGTTTGTGTCTGTTGGGTTTTCTGGTTTTTCTTTGATTGTAACCGTGGCCTGGCTCTTTCCTCTTGAAATAGAAAGTATGTAATTTACTTTAATTTTACAGGAGCCCACAGTTAAGAGAGAAATTTAAATTTAAAGACTGATATTTTACAGTTATATCAAGTTTTACATTTTGATATTAGTATGAGCCCTTGGGGACAGATATGGTTGAATAGTGACATGTTTGTCTGGCATGCATTGCCTAGCTTTCTTGTCTTAGAGTCATCTGGGAAGCGTGACTCTCAACTGAGAAGACGCCCCCTCGATCGCAGTGGTCTGTGGCAGGCAAGTCTGTGGGGCATTTTCTCGGTTAATCATTTGCCATGGCTCCAAGGAATGGACCTGACTGGGCTGGGTGGGTACTGGAGAAAAGATAAGTGCAGGCAGACACAAAGGCAGAAAGTTGGGCTCCCTGTTGTAGGAACCGCAGCACCCCAGAAGCTCAGTCTGAGAACAGAGAGGCAGGGTTACTGCATACTGGTCAAGGAGAAGGAGTTGTTACACACAGATAACAGAAGGCGGGGGTTCCGGTACACAGCTGGATCAAGGAGATGGGTTAACTAATCTTGATAGGTGCAGTCTCTGTAGGGAACAGTCTTCAGGCTGTAAACATCCAGTGGGGAGAAGCCATGGTGGCCATTTTCTGCATTTGCAGCAACTTCCACACATGGACCAAAAGAGAAGGCTTTGCTATTTCCTTCTGAGTTCCTGACATGGCAATGCCTCAGTCAACAGAACACACTCACTCACACTCCATTCACTCAGGGCTGCCTCAGTCAACAGAACACACTCACACTCCACTCACTCAGGGCTTCCTCTCCTCCCTACAATGACTGGTTTGGGAGGGTACAACCCATTGTGGGTGGTGCCACCCTAGAATGGGTAGTACTGGATTGTGTGGGAAAACAGGCTGCACAGCACAGGTACTCCTCACAGTCCCTGCCACTAGGTTTCTCTCTGCCGCAGACTCCCCTTCACATGGACTACAGCCAGCTGCAAGCTGAAACAAAACCTTTCTTTTTTTAAAAAAAAAATTTATTTATTTATTAGGTATACAATATTCTGTCTGCATGTATGTCTGCAGGCCAGAAGAGGGCACCAGACCCCATTACAGATGGTTGTGAGCCACCATGTGGTTGCTGGGAATTGAACTCAGGACCTTTGAAAGAGCAGGCAATGCTCTTAACCTCTGAGCCATCTCTCCAGCCCAACAAAACCTTCCTTAATAGGAAGCAATGAACCACAGCAATAGAGAACTAACACATACAAACCACATATCACGTGTGTGCCTGTGCATGTTTGCATTTATGAGCAAGTGTGCGGCTATGCACGCATGTGATGCCAGAGACTGACACTGGACGTCTTCCTTGATGACTATGTTTCTAGTGATTTATTTCTAACTTCTAGGGTTTTATCTAAACTTCCTGCCAAGGAAGTTTAAACTTACCTGTCTGTCACCCCGTCACTCCCTGTCTTCACACAGTACCATAGTCAGTCTCTTCACTGAGATCAGGACTGATCTAGCTTTACTCTAGTACTCCCCTCCATGCTCCCCTCAGAATTCCTCAGTTTGGGCAACTGTCTTACGGCTTTCCATTGCTGTGAAGAGTCACCAGACCAGGGCTACCTTTTTTTGTTGTTGTTGTTGTTTTGTCTTGTTTGTTTTTTGAAACAGGGTTTCTCTGTGTAACAGCCCTGGCTGTCCTAGAACTCACTTTGTAAACCAGGCTGGCCTTAAATTCACAAAGATCTTCTAACCTCTGCCTCCCAAGTGCTGGGATTAAAGGTATGGGCCACCCGCGCCTGGCAGGGCTACTCTTCTAAAGAAAACATTTAACTGCGATGGCTTGCTTCAAGGTCCAGTCCATGATCATCATGCCCGGGAGCATGGCGGCGCGCAGGCAGACGTGGTGCTGGGGTAGTAGTAGCTGAGTCCTACATCTTGCAGGCAACAGGAAATCAACTGAGATACTGGTAAGTATCCTGAGCATAGGAAACCTCAAAGCCTGCATCCACAGTGACACATGTCCTCCAACAGAGCCACACCTCCTAAAAGTGCCAATTCCTATGAGACTATGGGGTCGATTACACCCAAACTACCACAGCATCTCACATATCTTAATGACAGAAACCCTGAGCTTCTATCTGGAATGGTTGATTTTATTTATTTTTTATTATTATTATTTTTTTTTTGGCTTTTGAGACAGGGTTTCTCTGTGGTTTTTGGAGCCTGCCCTGGAACTAGCTCTTGTAGACCAGGCTGGTCTCGAACTCAGAGATCTGCCTGCCTCTGCCTCCCAAGTGCTGGGATTAAAGGCGTGCGCCACCACCACCCGGCTGGAATGGTTGATTTTAATATCCACTTGCCACTAATTAGAATCACTTGAGTAGGGAACCTCAACTGAGGAATTGTCTTTGTTATCTTAATAGATGTGGGGAGCCCTACCCAAAGTGTGGGTGGCAAATTTAAGTAGCAGCTCAGATTTAAAAAGGTAACGACAAGAGAAGATTATTCAACCTTTGGTAGCCTGGCTTCATCGAGTTGATTTCTTCAGCTGCTGCTGCTGATTCCTTCACAGACATCAAAACCAGCACCTCCAGGCTGCCGTGGGTGACGGGGTCAGACTGGGACAGCCAAGGCCCTCAGCCCCCAGGCGTGGGCAGCTACTGGGTTTCAGCCTCTCAGCCAATGTTACTGTTTCAGTGTAAAGTGGTAAGCAAATTCTTTACCTCTGTCTCCACCACATCGGTTCTGTTCCTCTTGAGAACACTAATAAACATGCACATACCCAAAGTGCCTTGTGCGATGATTTACACTCAGCGGGTGCCTATGAGAAACATGTAGACCAATCGTATGCTTCGGGGCTAGGAGTGTTCCTCAGGGGCACAGCACATGTTTAGCACACAGAAGGCCCTGGGTTCAATCCCTGAGCACACACAGAATCTAATGAGCAGTTCCACCTCCAGCCTATGAAAGGAGAGAAAAGAAAGCAAACGCAGTATCTTTGTTCCACAGTTCATTTATGGAGTTGGGGCAGGTGATTTAACAACAGACTGCAATATAAGACTGGGAGAGAACCCTTGCTGCTTTCCTGCCCAGGACCCAGCTGTGATAGGGAAGCTTGCAAGTTTTCTAAAATAGCCACCTGTCGTTGGGCAAGCTGGGTCTGAAGCTGGAGGTTGGCACACACACACTCTAGGAGTCCTAGGCATTCCTTGGGCTTCTGGCCAGCTCCTGAAGGAAGAGTGACGGAGAAGCAAGGGGCAAAGGAAAGAGACTTTGTAATTGCAGTGAGGTTGGAAGGACAGCATGAGAGAACGAATCCTCCCAGGTACAACCCGAACCAGACGCACTTCTGCTCAGCAGTTGCCTCCAGAGGCTCACCTGTCAGTCTTGTTTTCATTTGACATCAATCATTACAACTCGCCCCCCCCCCTTCCTGCTTTTCTTGTAGTGTTTATGGTCATCTGGTGTACTCAGTAATAGCTCCTTTGCCTAAGTTCCCTGCTTGGGTGTATGCTTCGGGAAGGCAAGGACTTTATCTAGTCTACTTTAGGTTCTCCAGCATCTAAAGAAGTCACTGGACACCAGGCGGTGGTGGCACATGCCTTTAATCCCAGCACTTGGGAGGCAGAGGCAGGCGGATCTCTGAGGTCGAGGCCAGCCTGGTCAACATAGTGAGTGCCAGGACAGTCAGGGCTACTCAGAGAAACCGTGTCTCAAAAAAAAAAAAAAAAAAAGCATGGAAGGAAGGAAGGAAGGAAGGAAGGAAGGAAGGAAAGAAAGAAAGAAAGAAAGGAAGGAAGGAAGGAAGGAAGGAAGAAAGAAAGAAAGAAAGAAAGAAAGAAAGAAAGAAAGAAAGAAAAAAAGAAAGAAGAAAGAAAGAAAGAAAGAAAGAAAGAAAGAAAGAAAGAAAGAAAGAAAGGAAGGAAGGAAGGAAGGAAGGAAGAAAGAAAGAAAGAAAGAAAGAAAGAAAGAAAGAAAGAAAAAGAAAAAAAAGAAGAAACTAAAAATTTGGGCATGACAGCGCATGCCTCTCAGCCGAGGCAGAGGTGGGTGAATCTCTATGAATTCAAGGCCACCTGATCCACACAGAGAAGTTCCAGGACAGGCAAAGCTACACAGTGAGACTCAGTCTGAAAAAGAAAACAACAATAAACTCTGGGGGCTGAAAAGACGATTCCACAGATAAAAGCATGGCTGCTACCAATTGCCTGCAATCCCACTCACAGGGGATCCACTGCCGTCCTCTGGCCTCCACAGGTATTACATGTATGCAGTGCACAGACACGCATGTGGGCAACACTCATACATTAAAATATATTTTTTAAAGCTATTACAAAAAAGGGATTGATTAAGCCAGGTGATGGTGGCGCACGTCTTTAACCCCAGAACTCAGGAGGCAGAGGCAGGTGGATCTGTGAGTTTGAGGCCAGCCTAGTCTACAGAGAGAGTTCTAGGACAGCCAGGGCTGTTACACAGAGAACCCCTATCTTGAAAAACAAACTAAATAAATAAAATTTAAAGATGTCTGTTTGTAGAGGGTTTTTTTAGATTTATTTATTTTATAGGTACGCCGTGTTCTGCCTTCATATACATCTATGAGCCATGTGCATACAGTGCCCATGGAGGCTAAAAGAGGGTGTTAGATTTGGAACCAGAATTATAAAATAGTTGTTAGCTGCCATCAAGGTCCTGGGGATTTAATCCTGTCTTCTCACAGTAGCCAGTGCTTTTAACCACCAAGGCATCTCTCTAGCCCCAAGGATGGCCTTTTTTTGTTTTTTCAAGACAGGGTTTCTCTGTAGTTTTGGAGCCTGTCCTGGAACTAGCTCTTGTATACCAGGCTGCCTCGAACTCACAGAGATCCTCCTGCCTCTGCCTCCCAAGTGCTAGGATCAAAGGCATGCGCCACCACCACCTGGCAGAATGGCCTTCTTGGGTCTACTCTCTCCACTTTCCAAGGGCTAGCCTAACAGGTATGGATTACATCTGGCTCCTACACTCTATTAAAAATGGATTTTGTGGTGGTGGCCTTTAATTCCAGCACTCAGGAGGCAGAGGCAGGCAGATCTCTGTGAGTTTGAGGACAGCCTAGTCTACAGAGAGAGTTCCAGGACAGGAACCAAAGCTACAGAGAAACCCTGTCTCGAAAAAAGCAAAAAAAAAAAAAAAAGAAAAGAAAGAAAATTTGACTTGAGCTGGCGTGGTGTAGCACATCAGCTATCCTAATGCTTGGGATAGAGTCAGGACACAAGTATGAGGGCTACACAGTGAGTTCCAGGCTACAGAAGAACTCAAAACAACAACCAAAGAAGAAAAAATGCTGAGCGGGGTGGGGGTGGGGGTCTCAAACAGCCCATGCTGACCTTGAGCACTCAGTGTAGCTGAGGGTAAACTTGAACTTCTAATCCTCCTGCCTCCACATCCCAGTGCTGGGATTACAGGCACATGCCACTGTGCAGTTTGTGTGGTTCTGGGCCTTGTGCACACCAGGGAAGAACTCTACCAATTGAACTATATTCGCAGCCTGAAAAAAGGGTTTTGTTGTTGTTGTTTCGTGGTTGGTTTTTGTTTGTTTCTTTGTTTGTTTGAGTGGGTGAAACCTAAGTCCCTTTTAGGGACCTGAAGCTCCTTCATTGTCTCACTCCAACCATTCTTTGTCATCAGTTTAATTTCTTTTTTTGTTTGTTTGTTTTCGAGACCGGGTTTCTCAGTAGTTATGGAGCAAGTCCTGGAACTTGTTCTGTAGACCAGGCTGACCTCAAACTCAGAGATTTGCCTGCCTCTGCCTCCCACGTGCTGGGATTAAAGGTGTGCGCCACCCCTGCCGGGTAGTCAATTTACGTTTTCAATTGCGTTGTCTATAGGTGGCTTAGTTAACATAATAATTACACTACCTATTTTAGGGCTATGGCTACTTAGAGTTAAGCTTCCCATAAATAAGTATTCAAGTATCTACTGACTTCCCCCGGAGAAGATGAATAAATCCAAGCTAAAGTTACCACCTCCTTCCCTGGTCCCTTTTAACTATCACGAGTAGCAAGCAGAAAGACTGTGGTCTCACCCCTGCCTAGTTGAGCCAAGTATCTAATAAATGAGAAAAGAACAGGATTAGCAAAACTGGGAGGAATATGAAATCAAGAGAACTAAACAATTAACACGTTACACAGTGAAAGCAGGCGACGGGGTTGCTTTGATGAGGAGCTAGCACTGCCCAAGGAAAGAAGATACTTTGCACCTTCTGCCCCTGCTGGTCGGCTTGGGAAGCCTCCGCCCCCCCCCCCCCCCCCCGCCTTACCTGAAGGCAGCTCTGTTGTCTGGATGTTCAAGAAAGTGGCTGGCAAGGAATTTGCTTGAAGATTAATATAACTGGGGGAGGGTTTTGCTGGACACAGACACACAGCATTATCTTCCTCTTTGGCTGAAAATCAGTGACTAAATCAAAACTCATTCTAACAGGGATTGGCTTGCCTTCCCCTGCCCCTCTCCCCTCTTTTAATTGTAAGAGGATAACCCAGGCTGGCCTTGAACCCAAGACCCTCCTGCCCTGGCCTCTCAAAGAAGGAACTGCTAGTGTGAGACTGCCTTTCTTATTAAATCCCTGCGCCTGGTTACAAAAGCAGACACCAGGCCCTACCCAAGGACCAGGAAGACACACAAAGAGAAGATACAGAAACCAATGAGAGTTAACTGAAGCCAGGCGTGGCAGGAGGAAAAGTCTAATCTACTTCCTTGATCACTACTGGTTAAGGCCCTATAAGGGGAAAGCCACGCCCACCCACTCCCTGCGGACACCCCCACCCCCATCCTATCCCCTGCCTTGAATCAAATCTCTCTCTCTCTCTCTCTCTCTCTCTCTCTCTCTCTCTCT